TTTCTTTTTAAATAATGTCACAACAACAAAATATTGCCAATCTACTTGATCCATTAGTCAGTAATGCAGATGCATCTATTGGAAAAGCATATCAGGTATATATATATATAACATTTCTAAATAATGTATTATTTATTCGTGTGTCATAAAAAGACAATAGCTAAAGCAATGGAACAAACACTAAAAGTACAGCAACTGACTAATCTAGCGATGGAGCAGATCTATAAAGCCAATGTTAAATTAGATAGCCATATAGAGCCTACAGGCAACGGAAACTTACGCATCCTGTTTACTCTCGGTAACCTATCACCTCTTCCAATGAAGACAGTCAAAGGTCGTTTACGGTTTGAAGACAATTTAAAGGTAAAATAATATGGCTCTATAATAAATACTAAAAAGGATAAATCAGATTGAAATAAATATTGCACAAGCAGCAAAGATATTTGATGAAAACAATTTGGAGACATATGAAACAAGTAGTCTATTCGACAGTCAAGTGGATCTATTACCTCAGACAGAGTATGAACAAGTGATTGAATTGACGACTAAAGAGCCTATTCAGTGTAATGGAACTATTGAAATATCATTTTTGAATCCTTCAAATGAAGATACACCTATAAAGATTGAACACAACTTTGGATTATACTTGATTGATCAGGCAAGTGATCATATATATGATTGTTTGAATACCATGTTGACACCTTAAAAAAGCTAACAAAGAGTACAATCAATGATATTGATAAAACCATGACGACAAGAGATACAAAAGAATACTCTACAAAGTTCATACGTGAAATCTTTCCTATTCATCCTATCGAAGGTATTAGACTAGGCATGAAGTTTAAATTTGCTGATCAAAGAGAGGTAATATATGGAAATATAGATGATCTGTGTATAATTTACTTTTATCTGTAGAATGTCATCCAATGTGAAGTAGTTCAGTTCACACTAGACTATACATCTACCACACTTGAGTTTTATAGTGACAATGAGCGACTTTTATCCATGTTTATTATTGAATTGGATAAACTAAGCGCACTATAAAATCCCTTTGAGCTGCTGATGATAATCATAATCATACTTGTATATTTCCTTTCCTTCAATCACATTTTGACAATGGGCACTGCATGTAGTACCTTTGTTTGTATTACACTTGTCGCATTGAATAAACAATAAATGACACCTTGTATTTTGACAGTTTGTGATATGATCGCAACTGGATCCACATTGATAACATTTGGATAGCACATCATCCGTGATCCTTTCTGTTCTTCTTCCGTCGAATACAAAGTTTTTGCCTTTAAATAAAGACTCTGTACTGTTCTCTTTGATGTATTGTCCATAAGCAGATATGCCTCCCTTTAGCTAAGTAATAAAATAACCTATATTAAATGCTGACAGTTATGCATCATAATTCCTTACCATCTTGACATGCTTATATCCCTTATTTTTCAGATATGGCCCAACAACAGAGCATCGTATGCCTCCTGTACAATACATATATATATCTTCATCCTTTGATCTATCCTTCACCATATCATCTAACAAATGTACGCCATCTCTAAATGTGTCTACATCCATCTTTATCGCATTCGTAAAGTGACCTAGGTTACTGCAATATCTCTTAATCTATCTTGTAATCTTTATCTTTTTCTCTTTTGGCTTTACTATTCATATCGATTGCGCATGTCTATCAAAAATATATCCTTCTTCTCTTTTAAGTCTCGATGCCATTCTTCAGCTGTCAAATATTCAGGCTGATTCTCTAGTTCTTTCATGTTGATGTTGTGTCTAACAGCCACCAACTTACAATCACAAAAAGAAAAACCTTAGCTCATTTATATATATGCATTTTATTGTTTCTTACATTCTTTTTGATCAACACTCGAAGCTTTTCAAAGCTGGGCGTTGTGGTATCTTCCATGCCTTGTGTATACTCTATTGTTCCAAAATCAGATTCATGTTGTTTAAAGTATTCTTTGACTTGATCCAACTGTGAAATTGGTACAGACATTTGGCAATTGATTCCGCCAATGCCTTTTGCTGGTGCAAGGTAGATTCTACCTACAACACCCAAAGCACTCAAATTCTTTTCAAATGTCTTTTTCAGTTGAACTACTCTTTGCTCAGTCAAAGGCTTTAAAGAGTAAAATGCCATGGGTCTGTAAAGTTGTGAGGTAACAAACCATCGTCTAGAAAACTCTATTTGACATGGTTTTGTCTTGGGTATAGTAAAATGAACAAACAGAGCTCGACTTAATTGAAACATGTCAGAATAAAAAAAAAAAAAAAAAGTAAGGCCGCCCCTGAGAGTTGACCATTTGACAGTTCGTACAGTGCTCTCGAAAAAGTTTTGGCCATTTTTTAAAAGTCAGCATTTTTTTAATGCTACAGTATTTTCGGATGAAACTGAATGAAATTTATTTTTAGAAAACGGATTATACTTTTATCTGGCACTGTACAGTCACACCAACCCTCTTAGTTGGGTCCCCTTTTTGTTCATTGTATTGCAAACTCTGCAGGCAAGGTTATTCCCAAGCTATATCGAACAATTTCTCTCTCTTGTAATATTAGTGTGTAAACTAATAACATAGCTAAATGTTTTTACAATATTTGCAAGAGAGAAGGATATCGCGACCCTCTTTCTTTTCAAATATGTCTTTTTATTGTTAGTTTTTTAAATTACTTTCTCAAGTCAGCAACACGAACAGCTACTGCATTACGATGAGCACCTAATCCTTCAATTTCTGCTAAGCGCATGACAGTATCAGCAAGTCTGTCCATTCCTTCTGCAGTGCATTGTTGTGATGTAATATGCTTGACAAAACCATTCGTGTTCACACCAGAGTACATACGAGCATAGCCATAGGTGGGTAACGTGTGGTTAGTACCAGAGGCATAATCACCGAAACTAAAAGGGTAGAAGACGTGAGCATAGTTGTTTTTTTTTTTTTTTTCTTTTTGTTATTACCTTTCAGGAGAGTAAGGTCCAACAAATACACTGCCAGCATTATCCACCATGGGCAATACATCAGGAGCATTATCCACATGCAAGATAAGATGTTCTGGCGCATAATCATTAGAAAACTTCATGGCTTCATCCAATGTCTTTACATTCAAGATGTATGATTGAGGAATGCTCTTGCGAATGATATCACATCGAGGCAAGGCAATTGCTTGGTTGTGAACCTCATCTTCAATCTTCTTCAAATGCTCTTCTGATAAGTCAATAGCCACCAACACAACTTGTGAATCAGGGCCGTGTTCAGCTTGGGAAAGAAGATCAGCAGCCACATAAACTGGATTACTTGTCTTGTCGGCGATGACGAGCACTTCAGAAGGACCAGCAGGCATATCGATAGCGACCAGACTACTTGTATCATTCTGTGCGACCATCTTGGCAGCTGTTACGTATTGATTACCAGGTCCAAAGATCTTGTCGACCTTGGGAACAGTTTCTGTACCATAGGCCATAGCAGCCACGGCTTGAGCACCCCCTGCTTTCACGACATGAGAAGCGCCCACCTTATGGGCAACATAGAGCACTTCAGGCACGACGGAGCCATCGGGTCTTGGAGGTGTTGCAATCACGATTTCTTTACATCCGGCTACCTTGGCAGGAATACCCAACATGAGTGTGGTTGAGGGCAAGACAGCGCTGCCACCAGGAACATAGAGACCTACTCGTTCAATAGGACGGCTAAATCGTGAGCAGACAACGCCTGGCATTGTTTCAACCACAAGTTGTTGTTTGTCCAGTTGAGCATCGTGGAACTTGTAGATGTTATCGTAGGCTTGGTCGATGGCAGCCTTCGTGACAGGATCGAGTTGCATCATGTCAGGGTTGAAAGGAGCTTTGATGGTTGGGCAGTCCAGACTGACACGGTCGAATTGACGAGTAAAGTCCAAAAGGGCGGCATCGCCACGCTGTCTGACTTGTTGCATGATTGGTGTGACACGTTGAATAATTTCACTAGAGTCAATGATAGGTCGGAGCAAAAGATTGGTACGTTGCTTGTTATCAATTTCGTCCAAAATAAACTTTTGCATTTTAATTCGGCCATCGTTCTGTACTTGGGGTTGTTGAGTTGGTTGAGGAGCAGAGCTACTGATGTGTTCTACCCATTTGGGTTTGGCGTTGCCTGGGCGACGGGTGACCTTTCTAGCCTTCTTGTCCAAATTCTTTTCGATATCGGCCAAGGAGACACCGGCTGTGACACACTTAGTGAGCAAAAAGTAAATCAAGTCAGCAGCCTCCCAAGCGACTTCGTCCTTATCAGTTGCTTGACAAAGTTCTTCAGCTTCTTCCATAATTTTGGCACGTAACAGCTTGGAGTCGCCAAAGAGTCTTGCCGTATAGGATCCTACGGGTGCATTCAGTTGTCTGTCTTTCAAAGTCTTTTCCAAAGCAGAAATGCCAGTGTCGTGACCAAAACAGTTGCGCGTGTTTAAGTGACAGAAACCTAAGATTGGATTAACAATGCAACTTGGGGTGGTACAAGATGAGATTACCTGCTCCATGTTGCTCGACGACAAAACGCAATGCATCGCCATCACAATCAAAATCAATACGCTTTAATGTCTGAGTAGCACCTGAGGTAAGACCCTTGTGCCATAATCCTCTTTGACGGCTCTGGTACACGCCTTGACCGAGACGAATGGACTCGGCAACACTTTCTTTACTAGAATAAACCAAACCAAGAGCCTTGTTAGATTCATCTACCACCATAGTCGTATAAAGGCCATCTGTACGATCGGTTCTGACAGCAGCCAAAAAGGCATCAGCGATCTTGATCTTGGATTCATCTTCTGGATTGGCTGTAAGAAGGGATGCAGAAACAATAACGTCCACATGTTGAGCGTGTAAGTCGGCAATTGTCTGAACAGTGACGTTTTCCAATTCAACAACAGCAGTACGCTTACCACCATTGCTAAGCAGACTTGTCTTGCTTTGAGCGAACTCGACGGCAGCTTCGGTAGAAGTGAATATGAAACTAGACACAGGAAGATTACTGAGCTCAGGAGTCACACGAGAGCATCGGACAGCAATACGATCGTCAGAGATACCGTTGAACTCGGTTTGAAATTTGAGGAATGTGTTCAAGTCAACGATGACCTTGAAGATACCAATATCCCATAGTTGAACAGCTTCGTCGACGGTGTTGGCATAGGTCCAGTAGAGGGTGGAACCGGTTTGACTGATAAGAGACCTTACTTGGTCTACGTTGCCATTCTTCAAAATAGCTGCATTGAAATATGAAAGTGAAGAATAGAGGGAGGTCAAGGAGGGATCTCCAAGGTCGATAGAAGGTACAAACATGTTGCGTAAAAGAGGAAAAAACTTTTTTTTTTGAACAAGGACTAGAAATGTGGAAGCTGACAGTTTGTGTAGCAGTCACAAGGTGAATCATAGTGTGTTAGAATCTGTGTAACAGAGTTGTATATTTTATTTATAGCTCATCTCTGACCATCTTGGGCTTAATAGAAACAAGATAGGATGGCCTTATGAACTGATATTCGCCATTCCATTTGGCATAGTTAGATTCCATCACACGACTTTCTAATTCTTTATAGTAAGGCAAGTGTTTTTGGTATTGATCTACTGACAATACGGAAATGAACGTGTTCAAGGGTGAATCATTCAGATTACATGCTGATTTATAAAAGAGAAGCTCTTCAATTTGCTCTGGCGTGTATGTTTCTCTAAAATAAACAGTAAATAGGATGTCTTGTAGGAGAGATCTATTGTTATGTGCTTACGCTGAACAAGTAGCTTCGGAGTAGGCATCTACTTTAATGCCTCCCGCAGGAATTCGGCATTCTTTCTTTAGGTAACCCATTAGGTTACTTATATCATCTGCTTTTAATGCTCTCCAAAATGTCTATGATACACATCAATATAAGCATTCGGTTTACTATTAGACCTACCGATGTAAAATAGGGTGATGTGTATTCAGGGGCATGGAGAACACTGTCTGAATGGGTAAATATAATCCTGCTTCGAACGCCTACAAGTTCACCATCACCCTCCCATTGAGCCATATCGGGATTATAATTAACAAGTTCACCCATGGTAGCCCAAGGTCCCTTTTCATGCTTATAAATGAATGGGCACTTTTGTATAAAGAAAGTAAGATACTCCGTAGACAATATCATCTAATATAAACGTACCTCAAATGCAACATATTCATCTGTTCCATCTGTTAATTCCGTATGTACTTTACAGGTCTCATCCAGCAGTTTGTCTACGTCCTTAACATCCAAAGGCTGATGAACGCCTCGAGACTGAAGGTGAACAATGAATATCTGTTCAACATTATCTCGAGCAAATTGAAAGATATCATCTAATACATTACGAAATGATGTATTAGAGATAGCAGAATCATGGTCAGAACAAATCACCATCTGCTTCTCATCACTATGAATATGTATAAATAACTAGTTCTTTTTTCCTTTTCCTTTTCTTTCATACTTTAAGCACAAGTTGATATCTAAAAATCGAACACCTATAGCAGACGTAAGAACACCAAAAAGAAGTATGAAGCGAGTAAGAGGTTGTTGTTACCGTCTTTCAGCATCTGAGGAATGTCATTTTGTTGCTTTACTTGACAGTCATTACTAAACACATGTGAGCCAGCATTATTTGCTCCTAAATAAAACGCTTGGTTGACAGGTAGTTTTCGATATTCAGGGTATCCGTTGCATGGCAATGGACCATCAATGACAGGTTTGACATTTACTATTTCTGGACTGCTACTAAATGATGTTATTTACTGTTCTTGAACTTTTTTTTAAATGACTCACTCATTGTCGTCTTCAACAATGTCTATAATGAAGTTATCATCTTCATATACTTGTGCTGATGTTACGCTTAGGAGTAGTAAAGTAGCTATTAAGGGAGACCAGATCTTCATGGAAATACTAAAAAGAAAAACACCAACACACTTGGTGCAACTTTAATCCCTTTTTAAAGTCACATTGACAACATTTTGCGCGACTTGGAAAGATATGAAGAAGTTGTTTTTAATATATATGAAAAATAAAGTGTAGCTCAGAGAGAATGTAATGTATTGGTGGCCGAAATGGAGCCAATTACTACTGTTTTAGTTATGGCATACTTATACGTGTATGTTTTTTTGTAAAAGGAGTAGTTTATTCAAGTACCGCCAGAGGGTACATATATGTGTATGCTTGGGATCAAGCAGAGTTTGGATGTTGTGGTACACAGAATGAAGGATGCAATCATTATCATTCTATGTATGGATGGCGCAAAAAGATCCACTTTATATGTTGAACAATCCCTACCTATTAGAACAAAACAAAAAGAAGATATTTTATGTATCTATAATTATTTGATTTTTAATATAATTGCTTACCCTCTACCAGAATTCCACAAACTACAGGAACAGGAACATGATCATTCACCAAATTGTTCACCATGATTTTCATCTGCTGGCCCAATTTGACGAGGTTAGAAGGAAGCTTGCTAGACCGGTTGCTCGTAGGCTTGACCTCGGCAATTGCAATATCATACCGCGTATTTCGGATTTTGATATACGCGGCATAACCAGGCTTGAGCTTGACGAGATTTTCTTCGTTCTGTTGGCTGAGCCTTCTATTTGCCCTACATAAAAATGCTAATTTACTTAATGATTCATATGAATAGTTTTTGTAAGTTTGACTTTTACCATTGGTGCTTTAAAATTTCTTCAGCGCCGAAGACTGATTTTATTGCATACGAAAAGACTGTATGCACAAAAATGTCTTTGGCACTGAGCTCGTTTGTAGCCAGCAACAGATGAGGCGCGCCATAAGGCAAAACACATCAATACACATGACACTATGTGACAAGAAAGTACGAAAGCTTACATTGTATGCAACATATTTGCAATTTGGAGGTTGCGTCTGTTGCTTGATGCTGCTGCCTCGGTGAGCATTCCATAGTTGTCAACTGCGGCTGCATCCATTAGTCACTGATACCAAACTTGAACTGGACACAAAAGATTAGTTAATTTAGTAAAAACAAGCTGAGAAAATAAAAAATATTATATTTGTCATTTTCATACACCATTTAAATACAATGGCGTCAATGTTTTCATAGTACTTTGGTACCAGATTTGACATTAAAGAGTTGTGTTATTCATTTACAAGGTATATGCTGATGGATCATCTTTTATCTTCGGCAAAAGATATGTACAGTCAAAGGCACTTTGATTTAGAGGAATAAAATGATTAGTATCAGCTTGGTTTTCTCATTTGTTATTGCTTGCTTACAGGAACCTCAAGTTCAAAACTTGATTGGCATCTTGTTTAGCCAATTGAGTAAATAGATGACTAAATTCTTTCAGATCTTTGACTATGCATCGATTATTAACAACCCACTATAGGAAATAGAATTAATATTTAATAATAGATCGTTATGCAGTATATTGTACTTACAGTTGTTTCTTCAGTAATCACACCAGCCTTACATTCTTCTGTAGAATGCTGATGTCGTACTGGGTAGTTCTCTGTGGATAGCGATGTACTGACTTACCGCTATCATCAGGCGTGTAGATATCTTCTTCTTCTTTTGAAACCGTATCGCAAAAGAAAGAAAAGAGACTGCCATTAGCTTCCTTTATAATGTCTTCCGCTGTCGTTGCTGCCAGTATTAAAAATTCTTTCGATACGTGTCTTGGATTTCTGCTTGAACAGATGTCTTTTTACAACACTAGCAAATGCCTTATGGGTAAACAAATTTTCTCAATATCCGTGATTATTGAAAACCCTCAAATCATTGTACTAAAAGCATTGTGTGGCTCCTTCACGCTTCCAAAGGTGGATTTTACAAATCAACCAATAATTGCTTCTCTATTCATCCAAGGCTACTGACATGTTTGATACGAATCGTCACAATAACTCGAGTATAACATTACATTAGAGCATACATCTTATTTTAAATTTTTTGACTTTTTTCAGAAGAGAAAAAGGGATGAAAATTATTAAGTATGGTTGAACACAAATTGCATAAAGAGGACAATCTATGACTGCCATCTATTTTTAAATGTCATCAGTGCATTAACTTAAACAACTTTCCAAAATCAATAAAATGAATCCAGTACTAGCACTTTCATGTTTACATGTCATTATAGGATTAATGCAAGGGATCCAATTTTACTATATTTTGCTTCTGTAAAGGAAGAGTCATGCATAATGACGGCTTAATTTACCAAGGTGAGCGCAAAAGCCAATCATTACAAATACACTAGGCTGACGATAGCATGAGGCTAAGTGATACTGAAAGTTGAAGGCGTTGGTAACTTAAACAGCAGAGTGCATTTAAAAATGATGATCATGCGAAATAACCTTTGATAACTCAAAAGGCATGTTTGTTAGGTGTACTAACGATGTTAGAATACATATAAAGGGCAATTAAATCAGAGATTAATCTATGCATTAGCCTAGGCATGCTTCCAAAATAAGTAAATAAGTCGAATTGCTTATACTTTGCAATAATGAAGACAGAAGAAGCGCTATGATGATTCATAGCTTTGAATAGTGATATGACATTGCTTCTTAGGGTTATTGAGCATTTTTTGTCTCATTATTCTTCTACTGTTAAAATTTTAGTATTTCTCTGTTTATATTAAAAACCCCCTTTCTCATTTTGATAATACTCCTTATTCAAAACATGAGTGTAAATATGTCATAAGGAAGGTTATTTAAAGTAGGTCGCGTACCTTAGTAACCACCTTATTTCGAGCGCCATTTGAAATGTTTTATGCAGACTTCACTCTTTGCTTTACTATAAAAATAAATACACAGTCATTAGATCTATCATAATCACAATAATAATTTAGTTTAGTCTATATTTCACTAGTAGAAGGGAAAGTATGATTATGTAGTAGCAAGAAATAGAGGTTTCTGTTCACTTGAAATAAAAAGGAAACATGACAAACTATTTGTTTTTTCCCTAAGCCAACAAAGTAATAAACAGGTTTAATGTATGATAATTGCAAGAGCCACTACATGACTTGATCTTTCTTCCTTGAAAATACAGCAGAAAGGTCATACGGTGCACAAACCTTCCATAAAAAATAATAACGATATCCTTTAGTATTTTTATGAAAGCTTTCCATTTCTTTAAAGGTCATGTTGCTTTATATATGACTATCACAGCATAACCATTTTCTCTGCCTCTATTTCTTAAATGCACTATTTAACATTAAATGCTAAAAGGTATAATGATAAACAAACAAAGGATGATGCAAAATCTATCTTTAATGCTGTGAAGAAAGAAGGTAATAGTGGACATAATCCATCATGTTTAACCAAATAGCTTAATCATAATTAATTTCGCTTGTTACCTAGATCCTTTTGATGAAAAAATAATAGTTACTACGCATGTTCTACAGAATCGACAGTCTAGTACTCTTTGAAAAAATCCCCCTTTTTTTTTGTTTACTATCAGCTGAATTTTTAAAGATGCTACCCCCTCTCAAACCCTTTTCCTTCTACGCTTGATGCTCGTCTTGCTTTTTTATTCATTTCTCAAAGAAAACAAGAAAAATAGAAGAACGCATATTGAAAATAAGAAAAGTGAAGCAATCATAACAAAAACCATATGTGTGTGAAGTCAACTTTATGAAAACAAGCGGGATCAGAAAAAAGAAGGAGACATGAAATTACGCAAAGTAAACAAACAAACAAAAAGGGCGTCGTTCAGATATATTCTAATATGGATAAGATAGAAAATGAGTCATTTATTTTCAGTCTAAATAACATGATTCACGTAAACAAAAACTATAAAAGAGACCATTATTCTTTTCCTTTTTTCCTTTTTCTTCATTCTTTATCTCTTTTAAAATTTATCCTATGCTTTTATTATTCTCTATGCTGAAAAAGGTATAACAGCGTTTGGGTAATCTCAAAGTATATGTCACTAATGTCATCGTTTAGAGAATACACTTTTGCTGGCTCCATTTTATGGTTCCTGATGCATCATACTCTATAATAATGGCCACTCACGGGGTGAAGCCTTCAAAAAATCTCTGCTGCTCGCTAATACTCAAAATGTCTACTCATACTTGCTACTGCTTGTCAATACACTCAAACAAATGCTCAAATGCTTATCAAATCTCTGGAAAGACTAGTGAACGCCTACTCCATGCTTATCAATACCTACAAATGATCACCAGTGCCTGAAAATGCTAGTGAATGCCCGCCCAATGCTTATCAACGTCAGAAAGTCCCTAAAGAATTTTGCTCATGTCTATCAATGTCTACTGCTAATGAATACTGCTCTGGAGTAACTACATATTCAAGTCCTGAAGCCACAGGAAAAATAACCAATCTACTTTGCCACTATCTGCCAAACTCTATCAAGCTCTGCTATAGGTCGCTGTTTCTCTACACTGAATCACCCCAAGATGCTCCTATTGTTATGGCTCTGCCTCTACAGCTGATGAGTGGCCCGTAAACCCTCTCTCACTGCTGAGCTCGATGGTCGCGATGCTCCAAAGGTTCAATATTCCGATGTCTCCACGGTCATTATCCCTTTCGTAATGCTTCGTCCTAGGTACTTAGAAGTGCACTCTTTGTACGTTGAAGCACCTCTTCCGTTGAATTTACCGTGGTATGGTTTTGAGATTGGTTTTTTATTTTTGAGTCTTGAGTCTTGAGTACTTTTTCTTCATGGAGTGTTTATACCTTGTAGTCTTCTGGTATGCAGTCTATGGCTCTAGTCACCTTGGGTTTGAAAGCTAGCGATAATGTAGCTTTCTGGGCTTATGGAAAGAAAAAAAGAAGAAACCTCTGTTTGCTCTCTAAATTTGGCTATCAAAAGAAAAATATCTACTTATTCAAAGCTCTCTCTCTTTGGAAATCAAACTATTGTTTGCTTAAATAAAAACTTCATTTTGTTACTTCCACACGTAGTTTTTTTGTTCATCTTTTTGGTATCTTTAATCTTAATGTGACTATTTCTCATATCACTTGTTCTTTCAAGTGTATAGCATTTACTCAAGGAGCAAAAGTAAAAGTATTTTCCAGAACATTTCTTAGGCGTTCTTTTTTGAGTTCTGCGATGCGTGTCCTTATCAATTTGACCTTTGCTTTAGATCAGCATTTTTTTAGTTTTGTATGCTCAAACTGTTGATAAGTTGATAGTGTACCCAAAGAGGAAGGTCATGAAGTTAATGGAGCAACTGACTGTATACGGAGAATCTTGCCTCAAAGCATCAAAAAAGGTTGACAAAAGAAGAATCATCGAGCAAGGTTTGAGATCGATGGAGGTGTTTAGCACGAAGAACGTCTATCCCTTTCTCTCATGAAAGAGGCTCTGATTAGCTGATACATAGCCGTAGCAGGCGCTTTGCCAACCTCCTATCGAAAATACGGTGTAGGCAGACAGCCTACGTTTGTTGGAGTGCTTTGATTCCAGGGTTTGTGGACGAAGTAATAGCTAAACTGCGTCTATTCTTGATCGAGATGAATAGTTGGTAAATTAGCCGTGAAAAACAAGAAGTATTAATTCTAGAAGTTGAATGGGTATTCATATTGAATTTATCTATCTCAATGCCATCCTAAATACCAATAGAACTGCCTGTTTGAAGAGGGATGCTTAGGTATAGGAACTTCGAAAAAAAAAAAATCAAAGAAAGTCTATTGGGTCGGACCTTCTGTTAGTGCGCCATTTTAAAGGGTGTCATTTACAACAAGAGTAGCCCTTTTTATTGTTGTAATCATTATAAACATGTCTTGGCGTAAAATTGATATCGATCAATATGATGAAGATGCCTATACTCAAGATGAGATTCTTGCGGAGTTCGAGACAGGATTGAGTCCTGAAGAAGTGAATAATGCAACTCAAACACGAAACACTGATGTACGCAATTTCATTTCACGGTAATGTCTCCCCTCTCTCTTTTTTTAATTCAATGGACTGATAACATGTCATAGAGGTGACTTGAATAATGCATTAACTCGCGCATTAGAGGACCCACCTTATGGACGTCATCTTGAAGCAGCAAAGGTAATAGCAATGACTTGTTCTTTTTATTCTAATAACTCAACTATTCTTGCGTGTTTTTAAATAGACTGAGAGCACAAAGATGATTGCAGAAGTATTAAACATGTTTAGAGTAGGAGATATCTCAGATATCGTAAAGTCACTTAACCATGAACAACAAGATGTCTTGATGAAGTACATTTACGCAGGTTTAAGCAAGCCAGAGTTGTATAACTCGAGTGTTTTACTGACATGGCATGAAAAGGTAATATTCATGATCATATAGACTCTTGTTATTAAATCTCTTTATAATAGTTGACAGAGGTTGCTGGAAATGGCTGTATTGTTCGTGTCATGACTGATAAGCGTACTGTTTTCTAAAATTGACCCTTCTTTACTTGTATATCCCCCCCTTCCTTCTTTCTCTTTTTATACACACACACTTATAAAAAGAAAAATCTCTATCATCTTTATTATCCTAGTTTTAATCGGAAGCCAGCAGTATCTGCTTGTCCACCAAATATGGTGCCTTCTAATCCTGCGTCTTCTATTTGTTCTCCATGAATTGCTGTTGGTGCTGAAGGACTATAAGTATGTTTTCTACACAGAAGCGAAAATAGTTATTATCAGCTATAATATATAAATATCTCTCTAGCTTACCTATGCCCTGACCCTTTCGATGGCCAAGTAGGGAATAAGGCAGGGTCTTTGGGTGCTGGACTTTCGCTAAAGTAAGGATGCTTAAGCGCCTGTTCAGCTGTAATCCGTTTGGCTGGATCATATGTTAAAAGCTTGGACAATAGATCTAAACCTGCTTGAGTAAGATTTGTAAATTTACTTCGAAGAGTACTATAACTAAAATGAATTCAAGCGTAAATCTTCTTTTTCTATTTCAAACGTTTTCATCTTACGGTTGATAAGCTGGTGATATGTTTTTGGCATGTGGTAACTCTGAGTATCCCGGCCATATTTCCTCACTTGGTCTTCCTAACAATTTGAATATCTTGTCTAGCTGATCAAGTTCACTTCTTCCAGGCAAAAGCGGTTCATTATTCAATAACTCTGCAAAGATACATCCTACGGACCACATATCAATGGCTGTTGTGTATTCTTTTGCTCCAAGTAGCAGTTCAGGTGCTCGATACCACAATGTGACAACAAGCTGAGTCATATGTCCCATAGGACTACCATATTTCCTTGCTAGTCCAAAATCAGCAACCTTGATCTCACCACGATTATTCAATAATAAATTACTCGTCTTTAAATCACGATGAATAATCCAGTTATCATGCATAAGTGCCACAGCTGACAGTAACTGTATCATCAATGTCTTAATCTCAGACTGTAAAAAGGGAGCTCGCATATCTTGCATAAGCCCTTTCAAGTCGTGCTCAATAAAATCCATGACAATAAACACTCTGAGTGCGTTAGTATGATGATATCATAAGCTTGCTTGTAACTTACTGATCCATGTGATTTCCTACTACTATTTCACGCACATTGACAATATTGGGATGTTTAATGTTCATCAAAGCGTGGATTTCTCTTAAACTGGTCACTGGAAATCCACCGTTTGCTAGTTCTAGCTTCAGTTTCTTCAATGCCACAATATCACCTGTTTCTTTATCTTTAGCTCGAAAAACGATACCATAAGAGCCTTCTTCAATATGATTCAATCGTTCATAACTATCCACATGTCGACATTCTCTCAAATATGGATAAACAATCTCTGAGCGAAGCGATCGAACTACATTCTGTCGTTCTGGTAGCTTTTCTGATTTCGCTTTATCTTGTTTCCTCTTTTTAGGTTCCTTTTTTACTTCTTGTTCATCTTCGTCAGACATCCATCGCGATTTTTTAATTAGTTCTGACATTTTCTTTTAAAAGAAGGAATATATTGTTTTTCTGTCTCAGACAATAAGAAAGTGTAAATGTAATTTATGTCAGTGAAGCAGAAAATATGCTTTTCTTTATTTACAAATGAATGGGGGTATGCATAAAAATAAACGCCTTTGATTAATCTTCTTCTTCATCAAGATCCATATCTTCAATGTTTTCTTCTTCTTCTATATCATTCTTGATCTTTTCTACGTTATCATTGTCATTGTCATCTTTTTCGTTTCCTTCTTCCTCTTCTTCTTCGTCGTCTTCATCATCCTCATCATCCTCATCATCCTCATCATCGTCCTCTTCTGCAACGTATTCCTCAATCTCCTCATCACTCTCTTCATCATACTCAATCTTTCTGCTTCTTCTCCTCTTGACACCAGTCGCAGGACTCTTTTCGCTTGCAGGCGTCTTTTTCTTAACTTCTCTCTTTTTCGTCTTGGTTGTATTACCTCTCTTTGCTGTAGTGCCAGCACTCACGTCTTCTTGTAAGCCATCTACATTCTCACTCTCCTTGGGTCCTCTAACTTTCTCAATCTTTTGCTCAAGTTCATCTACAAGCGATTTGACTTCAGGCTTCTGTGACTTTTGTAGTCGACACTTGCTAATGATTTCCAAAAAGTACTTGTGTACTTGATCCTCGTGTAACTTGTCTTGATAGGTAGACCAGCCCTCTATTAATCGCTTGAGAGATCTTTCTGACTTGTAAGGTAACAAGGATAGACAATAGGCAATGTCACGCCATGCACGTTCATCATCACCCGCTGTCAGGAAACGTTGACATAACTTGTCAACAATATTCTCTGCTTGCTTTTCTTTTTCCACAAAGTCAAAGCTAAACAAGAACTTCATCACTCGCTTGAATCCTTCTTCTTCTAAACGTTGTGGGTTGTTCTTGTCGGTTAAGTTACTAATGATATCAGGTAAATTGTTATAAATGGCGTTATCCTTGGAGGCAAGTTCAGTAAAGAACAGCTTGGCTAGATCAGCAATACGTTGGTCGGCATCTTCAAGGCACTTGGCCATTTCGCTGATCTGTCCTTTCACTTTAACCATACCGTTCAAAATTAAATGGGTTAAGACCATGACCGCATTCTTTTTCACAAGTGTATCTGGATCGGATAGTCTGTTATAAAGAAATGTAATATTATCGTCTATCAATGTTGAGAAGCAAACAGCCATGTCACCCAGGGCAATAACAACATTGCTTCGAATCGTGGCATCTTTTGATTTTTCAAGAATAGTAAATAGCAGTTGAAGATGCTTTTCACAAAACTCTGAGCTAACACACATAAACTTGGCTAATGCAAGTGTAGCTGTTATCTGTAGCGTACGATTCTATATTTGTGAAGAATGAGTACGTGTATATATGTGACTAAAATTCAACTTACAGTATAAAGCTTATTTCTTGCACAGACTTCTACCAGAAGTGGACCATATCTGGCTAACAGTGATTGACTACCATACAAAATTTCTTTTTCACGAATTCGAACTACAGCTTCACCAATATCATCTTCAGCCGTGCCTCCCACCTGTTCTAGTTCCTCTTCAACTGCATCTTTGTGTGTATCTTTTTCCTTTCCATCCTTTTCCAACTTTTGTGATCTCTTCTTCTTCCAGGCTGATTCTATAATTTCCAAATGAACAATCTGTTTAAGCGCGACATGGCCGACCATGAAAAACAGTTGAGAGAGTTCCATAGAGGATTGATGCACAGGGTTTTGTGGAAATGGTAGGTTCTGTTGCACTTGGCTCATATCATAATCAAGTATCATTGATTCAGCATTTGTTGCGGTATCTGAGAAGCTTGGTGTTAATTCTCTATCACCAAACACCTTTACTGTTTTCTGATAGATAAGTTGTTGACACAATGTCTCTGGATGTTCGCAGAGCATGTAGATTGTATTGATCGCTTGCTCGGCAAGACTGAACCTATATATACATTATAAACCTGAGGACTGACAGACATATCAACAAAAAGAAACCTTACCACTCATTGCTCTCGGTGGGAGATTCGAGCACATCTTTCAGTCGAGTAAAGATTGAATGTTGTAGAGGAAACCTCACACCTACTTGTACACCTCGACTCTTTTCCATCTGCTTAACGCCTTGTAACTGTTGAAGTGCGATACATGTATATCTTGCAAGACTCAAATCGCTTTTACCCAAGGGACCAAACCCAATTTTGAGCATAAGATCGACCTTTTCTGACACAATACGTGTGTTAGCTTGAGCCAGCATGCTCAAGATGATAATCGCACCTCGCCGTTGCATTTTTTGTATCCTGCCTTTTGTAAATCCATAGACTGACCAGAGCTTTTCAATCACTTCATCAGACACTTTATTACTGTCTTCATGCATGATCGTCTTTAATAATTGTTCTAATGATGTCAATTCAGCAAGGTTCGTATTATAGGTCAATTGAATCAAGTTCTTGGCAATACGATTCACATTCTCACGCTTAGAGCAGGATCTATCCATTTCCAAGTAAAGTGTCTGATAACAAGACAAAAGCTTCATCTTTATCCCTTTTCCTTCGTCACTTGTGTCCTTTGTCCAAATGAGATGAAGCATCTTTCGGATACCTTCTTGAGCTTTCTTGACCTGATAATTATACGCAATGACAAGAAAGTCCATAGATTCTAGAACCTCTGCCTTTGATTTGCTGGATAAAAGCTGCGTGACGATAGGAATGCAAGTGTGTATCTGTTCGATGAAGGCAATTGCATCTTCATGATATGTTTTCATTAAAATAAGTTGCTGTAGTTTCTCAGCAGGGATCACTGTCTTTGCAACCTTATCTTCAGTCAAGCGATGTTCCTCTTCTTTATTTTTATCTTGTTGGGACTCCATGTCCATCTGGACATCATCGTCATTGATACCTTCAGAGTGTTGGCTTCTATTGTCGTCATTAATACTTTCAGAATGTTGGCTTCTATTATCATCCTCTTCTTCATTCTCTTTTTGTGAAGTGGCATCATCTTTATCATTATTCACAGCTTGAGTGATAATGAAAGGCGGCATATCCTCTTCCGTAGTCGAATTCTACAATTCCAGTATTAGTGATTTGAATATAAATAATAACTGTATTTACATTAATTTCATGATTCAGAGTCTCCAAACGCTTTTTCCAGTCGTCTATATTCAACTCACCACCATACATACTGTAAGGGTGTGTCAATATCAACTTGCACAGCACTCGAATGACATATTTTCTAACAGTACTGCTCTTATCCTGCAAATGTCGCATTGCCAGCACGGTGATTGCCTGCCTTCTTTTGGGAAACTTTGCCTTTAAACTATGCAAGAATAAGCAAGGTGTATAAATGATGCAATAAGCTAAGCCTTACTCAAATAAACGCAAGTAGACCTGCAGCACCCTTTGTCTACAGTAAGATATAGTATCTAGCATATGTTCTTCCAATATATCAAAGAAACCATTGATCTGCTCCATCTGATTGGCGTTATCCTCGATGGATTTTGAAAGTTCTTCAATCATGAAGCCTAGGATATCAATCATGGTAGATCTCATCAAATAAGATTCACTGTCCAATTGGTGTATGAGCAATGCCATATTCTTTAAGATCGTCTTGGGTGATAACTCCACAAGCTTGATTAAAAAGGTGGAGAATGTCTTTGGATTGGGCGAATCTTTGACTTCCTTTGATGCAGTGTCTTTAAATTCACGGTTACTGATATCGCGTAGTATTTCATCTGCTAACTGATGATAATTTTGTTTTTCTACAAGGTGAACCAAGAATTCAGCCATTGGTTCAGCTGAATGTTCCCAGTATTGAAGATTTTGCATGATGGTCGTTTGAGCAACTAGTTATAAATGAGTCTATCTTTATACGTGTGTTTACAATATAATATTTACCAAATGCGTGATCATAGTATTTGACACATAACCCCAAGATTCTAAACACTCGTTCTTTCACTCTATTCGATTTCGCATTGACTGGATTTTCGAATAGTTGATAAGCAGGTTTAGTAAACAGATTGATAAAGGCAATTCTTTCTGGTGCCATTGTCCAGATCTTGCTCAACTTTAAGTCAAGTAACCAACTGGCTGTGTCAAATGCCTTCAACTTTTGATTACTCCAATCAAACGTCTTTAATTCATTTTGGTTTGACTTCTTTTTTGTTATTTTCGCAGTTGTTGTATTCTTTTCAACGGCAATCAAGAACCAGTGAAGTAAAAAGCCGTAAAGTTCTAAACAATGACGATGATTGCTAAAGGTTTCTTTTTGATTATTTTCTAAATCATCTGAAGTTGTCTTGATTTCTATTCTAAAAGCTATTTGATCCCTGTGTTAATAGTAATAATAATAAAGTCAGCGTAGTCTTTGATTACCTGACAAGATAATATCAAATAGACGCGCTAACCATCGTGGCTGAAGGTGAGCAAAGTACCTAGATAAAATATAAGATTACGCTACTTGAAACAGTTTTGGGGACATTTTACTTTAAAAAGCTAAGAATCTTATCAAAGACCACTGGATCTGATATGTTTTCTGAAGATACTTCAATGCTATCCGTTATTTCTGTGTTAAAAATACAATTAGCAAGTTACAATGACATTAAGTGTATATCTACCGTTTAGATATCTTGCCAGGTCTTGGTCACTTTTGCCTCTCAAGTCAATTTCATTAGGGATATAATAATCTTCTTGTTCCTGTAATTTCAATACTTCATCGCTTAATAGAAAATCGTCCCTCATTATTTATTATAAAAAAGAAAGACAAAGGTACACTAGGAAAAAAAAAAAGTTTTTATAAAATAGGCAAGTAGATCCCAACGAACATTTCATTGGCTGTTTTATTTCTACCTCAGTCTTTGTCACAGCTTTTAGCGAAACATGAAAAAGACCAAACTGCAATGAAATATCTGAAAATGTTTCCTATCGTACATACCATACCTCTGAACGCTCTTGATCAACCTCCAGAAATACCACCGTCTTGGACTTGGACCCAGTCTTACCCAAACACGATCAGCATAAGGGAAAAGCAGCTAATGGAAACACTCCAATTTGTTTTGACTGGCTTTGTCGATCGATCAACAAGTTTACATCAACGTGAAAGTAGACATGAGCGCACATATTTTGTGAAATACGTGGTTCCAATATTGCAGACATTTGGCCAACAGAATGATTGCCTGAATTTTCAGTGGTGTGAGGTCCAGCTGACGTTTTTGATGAGATAATCATTATAACTCGAGTATAATCTTACAATAGAGCATACATTCTACTTTACATTCCTCTATCGCACCTGATAAGAATAACTTATAATAATAACTATAGTAGCTACTAGTATAACAATAATAATATAAACATAAATAGTGTCAGTGACGACAATTATATAAATAGCAGCCATAGATTCTCTACCCAAGTAAACTCTCACTCAAACTTAATAATATTCAGCTCTTCTTAATAAAGAATCTAATTCGCAAGTCATCGACTTAACTGCCTTTTTACAATAACAACTAAAGCTGAATACAACACCATTTCCAGCAATGCTCACGAATGGATATGAATGTGAGTTTATGGACTTCACCAACTCACAGATACGTCGACGGTTTGGATTACGACATGTACGGCGAAGAACGGCTAGTCATCGAAGCATCAAGCAATCAGCATAAAGAACGCTTGAAACATACGTTGGATGACACAGCAAAACAGTTACACAGCTCGATCTGTATGCTACAAGGAATTGCAAATACGTATTCAAATGCCAACTTTATCACGATGCGAAAGGTGAAGGTTTTTGACTTGCAATGTGTGAGGACCGGCATCACCTTATCACAGACATCCTTTGATGAAAATGGAAAGTATATGTACGAAGGAGTCCGATCAGTGAAAATACCCACTACTTATGATGAACGAACACGATTAATCCGCGTTATGGATCTTTTGGCGTATTTACTGATCGAGATAATGAACAAGAGCAAACAGTGAACAACTTGAGAGATGAACATGATGGAAAGGTTGAAGTGGATGAAAAATATCTAGTAAAGACAGCTCTTTACATGAATAAATGGAGTCACCTTTAGTTCTACTCGTTTTTTCAATGGGTATGCGTAAATGCATTTGCTATAAACATTTCTGAGATCATGTAAACGTCCAAGATCGTCAAAAATGCAGAGCGAGCAAAACGAACAAAATGAACAGAACGAACAGAACGAACAAAACGAGAAAAACGAGAAAAACAAAACGAAGCAGAACGATATCACGCTTCGCTCAAGCATTGATCGAAGAAACTCATAGATCGCCTTATCCATCCTTCACAAACTGGCTTTTTTTTACGCACATAGCAGCTTCATAAATTCAGATTGTCACCAGCTCTCAGAGAAGTAGTGTTTCGAACTCCAGCTTTCACCTTTGACCAGAAACCCTTCGAAGGACATTTTGTAATCTCTTTCTTCAATCAAAGAAAACATGGGCAATGCTTAACGTAAATTGTGCTCCCACGGCAACCGCGTTTTTTTTTTTTTTCTTTTCTTTTCTAATCGCACATTTGTTTGGGTCATTACATCAGCTGTCTATTTTGATATTTATCTCAACACTAGTAAGAATGCGAGATGAACCCTTTGAAATGACTTTACTTCACATCGTTGCAGGCTTTTTTAATCCTCTTGGACGAAGTGTCTTCCTGCAAAAACCCTATGACGTTTAACATTACTCTTTGCTACTAAAGACTAAACAGTAAAGAAAGTGGCCCTTTTGTATCTTTGTTACAGTTATAAGAGAAATGATGAGAATTTTAAGGCAGCCTTTGGATTTTTATTGTCTTTGTATTTGGTGGGTTCACCACGAGCTTTTATGACATTTTTGACTCTTCTTGGGCATGGAGTCAATAAACTTATTGAGTAAACTCCTCCAAACACTCTTCAAAACTAATTCTATGTATTGTTGAGTTTTAGCATGAGAGCGCAGGGAATTAGCCCTTCTCGTCATCATGCTCCATATATTTTCACTTGGATTTAAATGCGGTGACTGAGCTGATCAAGATACCTTCTTTATTCCTTTGCTTCTCCCCATCTAGTAGTACTGAATCATATATCTGGCTTATAAAGTTGGCACTTGTCCTCATTCCTTTCTTCATAAACACCAACTTGGACTTCTTTCCCCAGTTATGGCGCTCCAATTAAGACTTACTGCACCATGCTGCTATTTGCCAGCTCAATTTGGTAAAACAATCAGATACCCTCACAACAAGCAAAGCGCCAAAAAGTTTGCTGAGAAGAGTCTGGAGTAGCTCTTTTGCTACAAAGTACACTTAATTTGCTCTATTTATTAATTCACTTACTTATGGTGACTTTAATAGAAAATGATATTGGAAGAAGCAAAATCCTTGAAAAGTAATTTGCAGAAAGATGATTTAAACTTTGGATCACAGTCGACTGTTGAAGAGTAAACTTTTATCGCACTCATACATTATTCCAGAAAGAGATATCGCGTTGACTTGCCGCTTTTTCGTATAAATTGTGTTATACAAAGCTGCAAAAATGTGGCTTTATTTTCTGACTGTATATTATTCCAGATAAAGCAATCAAGTGGTCAATTGCTAACGATAATTTTATAAAAATATTCATATAGTAAAACATACCAAAATCTAATTGCTCTTACGAGCTTCTGCTACAAAATATGCACTTATTTGCATAATAATGAGGATGCGAATTCATTTATACTTTTTCATTGTCAATTATTTATTAATGTACACTTTTTACACAAAAATATAGTTTAGATTGTATTTTGTATACGAAGGCGATTTGTTGCCACTAAATTATTTCTAAATGAAGCAGTGTAGTCCTTTTGATGCTGTCTTAGGGCAATCTCGGGTAGTCTAGGTACTGCTGCTGCTGTTGTTGTTGTTGTAGCAACGGTTGATGTATTACCAAATGTTATCTGCCTTCGCTCTTTTCTATTACGAGGTTCTATGGCAGGCACATCGGCTACTATTTCTTGAGATGGCGTAGTTCTTCTTACACGTTGTTTATAATGCTTCATAAACTGACGATGACCCAGCTTTATACCAGATTCTAATACCAATTCATTATTTTCATCTGTCTGTGTTAACACTTGATCTCCTAATGGCTCAAAATTGTAATACTTCAGCAGTTCTTCAGGATCTTCTGATTCATCATAAGCCATCTTACAATGACCTTTGTCAAGCTAATAAACATAAGTACACTATTGTCATTCAATAGAAATATAAACTCACCATATGTTTGCGTACAGCAACAAGCGATTTCCATTCCTTTCCTCTGCCATTACAATACAGACAGACAAAGTCATTGATAATTTTATCTGCCAAATAGGCGACCAATCCCTTTGGATCCTCTAAATATTCAACATCAGGCAAAAAGAAGCCATGTTGAACCTTCATATGTTCAAGGTTGGTATTGAAATCTCTATTGTCGACGCCACAGAATATACAGTAATCAGTTATTCTTTCTGTATCACTGGCGGTGGATATGACAGATTCATTGTCGGTATCTTCTGCATCAGAGAACAAACTAATCTTCTGATGGTGCTTATAATGAGCCACTTGCTGAGGCTGAAGAGAAGGCGACGATAAATGCTCTCTACCAATAAGTGCCTCCATGTCTTTATGTTTCTTGGACAACAAATGATTGGCAAAGGCGTTTTCAGAGAAATAGGATTTTCTATAGAGATATACTTTAACACTGCAAGTTACGTATAGGCACACACACAATACCTGCAAAATGTGCATTCATAGATAATGCCCTGTCTCTCTTCTTCTTCTCTTCCCTTTGTTTGTTGAGCTATGAATGTGTAAACAATGCTTCCTATATTTCGACTATACCACAATAACACTAACCTAAAACCTTCTGAGCAAATTGTTCAGCATTAATAGGTGCAAGTTGAGCAATCTTTCTTTTCAAATTATACTTGTGCCAACTAACGTTTGATTATTAATATATCTTGCTCGACCGCAGCAACTTGCCATTTTAAACACTTACTCTGAGCGATAATGAGTTCGCTGTCTTTCACTTGTAGGAAAAGCAACTTGACAGGCAAGACAAGTAAATAAATGATTTCTTGGTTGTAGAGGATTAGACAAGTATTGTTGTTGTTGTTGCATGATTGGTAATTAAAGAAGAAGAAAAGGTTAAAAAAAATACAGTGACAGAATTCAAGCATTTCAATTTCTTTTTCAGACAGCTTACAAATTGAAGCTTCCGACAAGGTCGGGGTTAATATCGTGACTCAGACGAATCAGTAATTTGAGGGAACCAGTAAAATTGTGTATTTCACTTGATTATATGCAGTGGGTCATTCGCATACATACACACACAATAAAAGGATAAAAGTTTGATGATGTTAAATTACCTCATGAATATTACAGTGCAGAACTGTAGGGTCAGTAATGCCTACAGCGTTTACCGGAGTATGAAATCGAACAATGCTTAAATGAGTATATATAGTCAACATATTTTACGACTTCCCCCTCCTTTTCTTTCGTCTATTCATCATTATCAATGGCTCCAAACCCTAATATCTCAAGCTTGTTTCAAGAATTACTATTTAACAAGAAAGAAGAAACAGTTATAGAAGAAGAAGGCAGTGACTTCAAAAGACTGTTACATAAAAATAAAAAGATACCCTCTAATTACTCAATATCCTCCATGTCAACAAACTCATCAAGAATACATAAAGATTCCCCTGATTATAACTCGGTGGTTTATCTCAATACTGCTTCAGTTATAAAGAAAAAGAATAGATTTGATTTCTTTGGTTTATTCAATCGACAAGAAGAAGATAGATACTTTAATTCCAATAGGAATGACCTAAGTAAAGACATATTTCCCAGTGACAAATAAAATCTTTATTATATTGCTATTATACTTTGAATGCACCAGAAACAAGGCATAGGTTTCGGTCAGTGAATTGGGTGTTATAGATGGGGGTTTGTTTAGTTGGGAATACTCCAAGCTGATCACGACTATAAAGAAATAAACAAAAATGGTAAAATTATCTATATTGACGTCTTTTTTTTTGTTTTACCTTTCATATACACGTTTACTATAACCTTCATCTTCTTGTAATCTTCTCTTCTTAAGTGTCGAATCCATCATGCTGTCGTCATGGCTCGTGTTTACGTCCCATACTCTGACCGTACAATCTGAGCCACCGGATACAAGAATATTACTATCTGCACTAAACTGAATAGAGTAGATGAACCCAGTGTGGCCTGTCATTTTTTTAATCTTCTTTCCACTCTTCAAGTCCCACAAGAGAATAGATTTATCTTCTCCTGCCGATGCCATTAATTTTCCATTAGGCGAGATCGCAACTGCCTTGACGGCACCTGTATGTCCTGTGAATACTCTCACACAATTACCACTATGAATATCCCATAGGCGACAGGTTCGATCACTTGACCCAGTAGCCAAATACTTTGAATTAGGATGAAATTTGATTGTCTGGTGATGGCTATATTTAGTATCATGCATATGCAAACATCCTACTTACTTACGTCAACATCCGATAGATGGCCCGTAAATATTCTTAATGGACTGATATGGTCTAAACTCCATAATCTAGCCGTTCTATCGTGTGAGGCAGTTGCAAAATAAAATCCAAAAGGTCCAAACTCAACATCCCAAATAGGGCTATTATGTCCCTTGAAGACAACCAAGTTTGAATAGGTCTGTGTACTCCATAATCTAACCGTCTTGTCTTCTGAACAAGACAACAAGTACTTGTTGTCTGGACTAAAGCTTAGTCCATAAATAGGCCCAGAGTGGCCGACGAGTCGTTTATAATCTGAACCATGTCTTTCTCTTTGTCTGTTCAAATCGTTGTCTGTCGAATATGCATTAGGGAGGTTAAGGTTATTTTCGTAACTATACTCACAATCATTCACATGCGCCGGGTTGATTGTATTCCGAAGTGACCTCAGTTTTTCTCCCTTTAGACTCCATATTTTGATAAATGACTGTGAAAAACCTCCTGCGATGAGTGTTGCATCTTTCGTCATGGTAACACAATTCAAACTAGAAAAGTATAAATAAATGTAACACTCTTAGCGTCACTTTACCTGTCATGTGTGTTATGAAAAGTGTAGCAGCATATACTAGGTAATGACGTCTCGTTTAGTGCCAGACGTTGATTGACATCCTTCAAATGTTCTATTTCAGCTCGAATGTCCGTCCCCCTACTATGTATAGAGTCATGTATCCCTGATTCTTAAAGTTGTTTGCTTTTCTCTGTTTATTGCCTTACTAGGGTGGTAGTGGTACATCATGAGGTGATGGTCCATCCAGTGAGTACTCTTGAATTTCCTTTTTAAAAATGTCAAGCAAAGATGATACTTCTTCATTTTCTTTCTTTTTTTGCCCATTCTGTTCTTCCTCTTTTATAGCCTGTTCTACTTCCTCCTTAAAGCTTGGTTCGAATTGTAGTAAACCTAACTGTACACGCTGCCGATTGAATTCTTCAAGCTGTTGCGTCTGATGTCCCGTAATACCAATCACGTCGTCCTCCAACTCCAACCCGCCTGCGGATTTCAGCTTTCCGTGCACCACTAGATGATATTAGTATAATAACTATTTTCAAATGGTCATATTACCTTGAATGTTTAAATATTGATTTACAATGCGTAATAGTAGCATGAATCGATTGTCTTGGAGATAATTCAAAAATAGTTCAAAAGGAACCCCTGACATCCTTAGGTTGTATTTGTTGTTGCGATACATTTGTGCAATTTCATTTTCTCGAATATGATGAGGCTCTGTTATAGAAGCAAATGTGTTCAAATCGGGTGTATGTAATTCGACGTGATCCACTCGATATGCCTTCATAAATTCTTGGGCTATATAAATACAGTTTAGAATCGTTTGAATTGATATTTACTTATTTATTACCTTTGTCTGGTAATCCTTTACTAACAAGATCAAGGTAAGAATGAACAAAGATTGGAAACAAGACAGACCGCAGTTCAGGCTACATGTATGTTATAATCAAACTGTTCTTTTTCTTTTTCTTTAATCTCACCTTGTACCAGTCAAGTGAATTTTCTATCCATTCTCTTAAACTGTTATAGCTCACACCATACATGTCAGGATCTTCTTCTTCGTCTTCTTCTTGTTCTTCTTCGTCTTGTACCATTACTTCTGATTGTTGCTGTTGCTGTTGTTGTTGTTGCGTGGTGTCGACTTTATTAATCGCTGAAGCGTCTTGAAGAGATACAGTTTCTCCTCTTAATTCACGTAAAAAAATCGCTTCAGTGGCTCGGAAGCCTTTTGTTTGAAGATATGACACGAGCATCTTGTCAATATTGGGTGGCTCATTCTCTCCAGGATTAGGTGCATTGGCTGACATTCTTTTTTAATGTTTGAAAAAGAGTTAAATACGACTCTCTGGTTTTTATTGGCCTCAGCTGGGATTAAACATAAAACTTCTTTTTTTTTTCTAGTCTCTTGAGCTGTAAGCTTTCAAAAAGGGGAAAGAATGCCATTACAAAAGCCTTTGAACTTTGAGGCTTTATGAATGAGAACAAGCAATAAAGAAATGAATCTTGTTTGATTTTACATGTTTGATATAAAGCTGCTGTTTGTGTATATATACAGGCGCACATTCCATGAATACCTTTCCCTGTCTATACTTCTTCCTTTATCCAAGCAATGGGTTCAACATCTGCCAATAAGTGCTCTATATATTTCGATGGTCTGCTTAGTAAGGTATTTTGTATAAAGGCAGGACAAGTGTCACCTCTGTTATGGATGAGAATAAACTGTCACTTTTAAGCCACATACCTCTAAAATATGCATGCAGAGAGAAAGTATCCATTTCTTTACGACACAGCATGGGTAAAATAGTTTTTAATGAAGATGAAGAAATTGTCGTTCCAGAACCAGTTGCAAAGAAGCCAGAACAGATAGAGGAACAGATCTCTGATGATGATGAAGCTCCTGAAGCCATTTCGACATCAACAGCAAAACAAACCTCATTATTTAAAGCCAATCTAGAAAAAGAAGCAGCAGCCAAGTAAGTTTGTTTCATTAAACCAACGCACACAATATAACACAATTTTTTAGATTAGCAGCTAAAGAAAAAGAAAAACGCAGAAAGAGAGATCAACTTTTAAAAGAACAAAGCAAACAGAAAAAGAAGGTAGAAAAGAAAGAAGAAGAAGAAGAAGAAGAGAGTGAAGAAGAAAATGAACCAGAACTGCTTCCAGAAGACTTGCTCGCACAAGCTATTGCTGAAGAAAAAGAAGAATCCAAAAAACGTAATCATATTACAGCGGAAGATTTTGAACGTATGATCGCTGAAGAAGAGGAAAGAGAGAGAGCAAAAAAGAGAAGAACGGTTGCGAGACGAGTGGGTGAATATACAGTCAAGGTGCTCAATCAGCGTCCAAAGGCCGAAAAGAAAAATAAGAACTTGATTAATCTTAAGAAAACAAAACTTCATAGAAAGGCTGTACCAAGAAAAGACGCGGTCCAGAATATTAGTAGTGGCAGAGATGGTGCTGCTTTAGTGTTTCGTCGTAAATAATTCACTTGTAAATAAATATAGAAGAAATGATATCCATCTACTTTGCTGATAATTCATTAATAAACTACTTGAGGGTATATTTTATTGACATAAACAATAGAAATACAAAATGTATAACAATAATTAATCCTCTTCATCACACTGTGACTCGACGGGGTAGATGAAAAAGGCTAGTGATGCTGCAAGTGCAGACACACCAGCACATACAAAGAAGGTAAAATAAGGCATTGTGCCTACAGTAGCACTATAGATGCTATTGATACCCACTTGACTTACGATTACTAAATGTGTATACTTGTCAGTCTATGTTAAACAACAACAAAAAAAAAATACAACTTACTTGAAAAGGATTCCAGTGTTGCCATGGCACCCCAAACTTTTCCTAGCTGTGATTCATCAGAAAGATTTGACACCAGTGATCGAATACCAGGAGCAGCTAACACAGCAAAACCCTGTAAGAGGCCAGTCCAGATGAAGGCAGTGGATGTATTGACCAAACCAAAGAGAATAAAGGCAACAATTTCGACCGAAAGACCTGAACGGACCAGCCATGCATCGAATAAAATAGTGTTTTGAATATCACGCTCAGATACAGTCGACGGGACTTTATCGTCTTGAAGAGTGTCTAGTGATGACGAAGAACTGCTTCCCTGTTTGGGCGCATCTCGTTTTACTATAGCGGTCTTTTTCTCAGTTGGCTTGTACTTGTGAAACAGTTTTGTGATAAGTGGTAGAACCGCCAGCATAATGAACAACCGAGAAAAGGAGGTGACACTAACAAAAAAGCCGCCCTCATAAGCTGTCCAACCAAACTGAAGCATACCATAGAGCAAAGTAGGTGGAATTAGCAGAACAGTGACTAGAACTTGAATTATGGAAATAATAGGAAGTGCCCATCGATTGGCATGCTTGGAAGAAGTGTGGAAGAGGACGCTGATTGCAGAAAAGATATTGATGCGCTGCAAGAATGTCTGATTAGGCTTTTCTTTATACTCGCTGATATCCTTGGATTCGGGAAGGACGAAGGTAGAATATATCAAGAAAGTGACATGAATAACAATAACCATCCAGAAAACACTAGCAATAGTTCCAGTCTGCTTGATTAAATAAGAACTAAAGGACGGTCCTAGGATAATCAAGATAATGGTAAGCTAAAAGAATAGAACAGAACAAGCATTATACCCAATGTGGTTCCTAAATAGAGAGCAGCAATCATATGGCTAAATACAAGAGTCCTACAAACAAAATTCTCAATGTCAAATCTAGGGTCTTGGCATGCCTCGGCGCCAATGGTTGAACCCTACCTGTTGGTTAATGTAGTACAATCAGAGATGTATGCTTGAGCAGTTGAAACCAGGACAGAGTCGCCAGCCAGCAATCCACGGATAACATAGCCAATAAAGATTAAATAGACATCGAATATGTTGTAGTACTTGAGAGTTAAGATAAAGCTTGCCATTGAGATAATGCTGCCAATGACCGAGATTTTTAGAACAGTAACTCTGCCTTTGCGATCAGAAAGCGCGCCGTAATACCCAGCTAAGAGGAGAGCTAAAGGATGATAAGGTTAATGATACACATTAAACAATATTTATCGTTTACATGATCCAGAAGATAAAAACATGATGAACGCTTGAACTCGAGAGACAATCGCTTGCACCTCAGGAATATTGCATTGATCCAATGGAATATCAGAGTCACTTATCGAGTGAGCTTGATAATATCTAAAACTCACGTTAATAAGCAAGAAATAATACTAAAGACAACATTTACTTGTAGCAAAAGATAATGGTGAGGCCTTCAACGAGTGGTGCTGCAATAGAACTATTCAGAATAAGATTATACATATACAATATATACAATTATGCAATGCTTACCCTAACGTAAAAGCAAATCCGAACACCGGTACGATAATGTACCAAGGGGATGGTTTCTCCTTTACAACTTTAGGCTTAACATTTGCGCCATTCAATAAAGGAGTTGCCTCGTCCAGAGTCTGTTCGAAATCCATTATGATTATATAAAGATAAAAAAGAAGAAGAAAAAGAGATCTTGAATTGGCAAGTTTCGCTTTAAACAGCGAGTGTGTGCTTTGTGAGGAAAAGTATCGGGGTTTGGATGTTTTTCTTAGTAAACATCGATCTACGATGTCGCTATAAAATCGTCATGGAGATATCAATGACGAATATACAACGCTGGATGTAATTCATCATGCAATAATATGCTTATAATTAGACTTTAAAGGGATCTGCATTGAATATCGCTCATTACAGCCCTACAAGCTATCTGCAAAGATATGCCAAGGTTGTGCCTTGAGTTACACTGCTCAGTCCTAAAAGGATATGCGCCCTTTGAAGTTTTGAGCCAATCCTTGTCAACGGAACATTTTACCAGGCATTGTTAGTGGTCGATTGACATCACACACACTTGCTTAGAAAGACATGAATGATATACTCTATCTTTATATAAGACTTTAAGCCAAATTGTATATAGGTCATCTTGGCTCACCAGGTAAAGCTTATTAAGGTGTATATAAAGATAAAGCTTCATATCACTGGCAATTGATCTCTCTTTTTTTCGTTTTCTTGCTTCAAGTGCCTGGATTACACAACTGTTTGAGAAGTGCTTTAGCTGCTTCATTCTAGAAAAAGCCTTCTGATGCACCATCGCTCTTTTTACATATTTCTATGCGTCAAGTGTAATACTCGGCGTAGTTTCTCATGCTTGATGTGTATTCAATGCCACCAATAGTCTGCTTTATAATGAACAATGCATAAATTTACACTTTTCACAAATTATTCGTGCGCTTTGCTCATGCAGTTTAAAAATAAAAATTCGTTCAGACTCATGCAAAGGTATCATTCAAACCAGTTTAAAAATTCATGCACAAAAAA